CAAAGCCTGGTCCCCTTCCCCAGCTCTCTCATTCTGCTCCCAGCAGCATCTGGTCAGTGTGGGGGAAGGCTCAAACTTCCCCCAAGTTAGAGGGACCCAGGCTGGACCTGCCCCAGACTTTCAGACCACAGCTCAGAACGGTGGAACAGAGCCAAGAAGTGGCCATGCTGTGCAAAGCATGTAGCTGACAGTGAATGTTGTAGAGTAATTACTGAATACAGGACTCATAAAAATGTTTGATTTGACTTGGTGCGTGCTGAATCTTAATTCAGGAACGGTTTGACATCATTTGGTGTAGGCTTGTGTTATACATAAATTGTGTCATCACACCACTTGAATGTGAAGTGTGTAAAGGTAAACAATCTGTATGGAAGTGTCATAACAGCTATTCTATTTCTCAATGTCATTCACTTTTGTTTACTATATAATAAGCTTTTCCAAAAAAACCCTCAATTTTTAAAAAACTGAAATAATTCTAGAACAATTATAATAATTTGCTAGTTTCACAAATTAAATTCAAGTTTAAATGCCAATTTTATTGTGTCATTTTTTTTAAAGGCAAATATTCTCAACTGGGGGGTGGGAAGGGAGAGAATTTGGAACTCAAAGTTTTAAAAACCAATGTTAAAAATTGTTTTTACATGTAACTTGGGGAAAATAATATGCTAAATAAAAGCTTAAAATTAAAAAAAAGGCAAATAACATCTCTTCAGTATAAATACATCTATAAATGTTTGAAGAGGAAATCCACAGGAACCACTGAAATTGTAAAAACAATAAGAAAAAAGAGAAATGAAGGAATAGAGCTACCGAAAAGCACAAAGTAAAAAAGCTCCAATCCAGAAAATGTAATCCACTTGATTTATCATTGGATTTCACAAGTACTGTTATTTATGAAAAGGAAAGGCTACTGTTTTCTTTGCATAAATGCTTTAGCTATAGCTAGTACAAAACCTATTAAATTAAAATAGCATCTTGAAGACTTATGTGCAGAATACATTGGCAAGACAGGTAAATTTGTCCAGAAAAAAACATAGATGGAGGCAGCCAGGTGGTGCAGTGGATAGAGCACAAGTCCTGAAGTCAGGAGGACCTGAGTTCAAATCCGGCCTCACACTTACTAGCTGTGTGACCCTGGGCAAGTCATTTAACCCCAATTGCCTTAAAAAAATGCATTTAATCAGCAACAACCTACTTTCTCAAAAACCATATAGGTGACATAAAAAAAATGCTTGCGTCATATAAGGCTACTTACAGAAAACCTCATTCAAAAAGAGAAACCGGTGCCTATAGCTGCTGATACAATCAAAACAATGTTTCTCAAATCACATGCAAAGCTGCTTTGAATGGTCCACTTACAAATAATACAGAGGAAAAGATAATTCTCTGTGTATTTGAAGACCTTTGCAATTAGTTCATTGAAAAGCTAAAATTTTCTTGTTACTACTGGTGAATAAAACAAGAGATCCAGTTAAAGATGCTCATTTCATAACATGTATCTGATACGTTCTTGAGACTGTTATTGTGAATATCTGTTACTATGTAAACCTGTTGATGGCAATACCACACCAAGAGAATTTTTAAAAATACTGTTGTCCACATCCAGATGAAGAACTGATGAACTCTAAATGCAGATTGAAGGACACTATTTTCACTTACTTTAGTGTTTTTTTTTTCCTTTTGGTCTGCTTCTTCTTTTACAACTGTGACTAATATAGAAATATGCTTTACATAATTACACATATATAACCTATATCAAATTGCCTACCATTTTAGGAAGAGGGGAGGGGAGAGGAGGGAGGGAGAAAAGTTTGGAACTCAAAATTTTGTAAAATGCTAAAAATTGTCTTTACATATAATTGGAAAAAATGAAATACTATAAAATAAATTTGTATATAGTTTGAAAAAATATAATTGATCGATTTTCAAAAAATGAAAACAATATTACTTCGGAAAACTGTATTGGACTCTGTACTGACAGAATTCAGTTGGAGTCAGGACAAATGGCAGATCTACAAGCAGTAGTTTAAAATGTGATCTCTCATTCAATATAGATACACCATATACTTCACAGAGAATCATTAAATCAAGAAACATGAGTGAGAAACTACATACAGTTTTTCAAATTGTTGCAAAAGTAATCAACTTTATCCAAAATCATTAAAATTGCAGTCTTCCGATTGCAAATTGGTAGGGATGGGGGACAGAACATAGAACATTTCTATATGATTGTGAAATACACTCTTCTTGTGCCAAAATATTTCAAATGGTATTTGAACTAAAAACAGAAACTCTAAGGCATAATTAGGAAGATAAATCAAATTCATTTTATACCAAAAAAATTCCTTCTGCAATTTGTGTATTTGCTGGATTTTTTTTTTAAATCAAGTCTTCTAAATAAATTAGTGCATGGTCCTCAACTTCATACTCTGATCCAGAATTATGAAAATAACTGCCTTGTTAAATGAAATAGAAGAAAGTAAAAACCTACTTATTAATCATTTGATCACTCTTCTGCAGTTATTCTTATTTTCTTTGAAAGACTTGTATATTTCTAAATATGAACTGCTAAGAAACTTATTGACCATGAGTAGATATGAAAAACATTTGGTGTTATTCTATACGAATGAGAATAGTAAATAGATTTGTTTTCTGATAGTACGTGAAACAAGTATTTGAACCTGAGCATATTGATTTATTGAGCAATGATGCCAAATGCCCAACAGAGCTTATGTTTTGGCCCTGGGCAAATGTGGTAAGTGAAAAGATGAAATGACTCAGGAAACAAAGGTTTGAACTTCTGAGCATATCAATTTATTAAGCAATGCATGCCAACTACCTAACAAATTGGGACCAGTAGCCTTCCTTAGTTTTAGCATATGAAGAAAAAAATTTAATTAACAAAGTGATATAAATTTTAATACCATTTGTAATATATTATTTGCATAAGACAGGGTTTTCTGTTCTACTTGCTAAAAAAACAAAATATTGATCTTAATAGTAATGGTTGAAAAAGAATTACATACAGCAAAATAATTATTGAGACCAGCTTTTGGGGAAACTTTGTGGCAAGAAGCAAGCCCTGCATCTGTTCAGCCCTATGGTAGTCAACTGAGGTTTCGTCTCTTAGACATGGAGGAACTTTCAGAGAAATATCTCAGCTACCCCTCCATCTCCCCTTTTATTTTCCTGCTACTCCATGCTTAGACAAACAGCTGAAAATGTAGCCACAGGTTATCTGGACTCAAACATCTGTGAGCTTGCTCCCCGTGGGGCCTCTGCAGCAACGGTACCCCTCCCCTGCCTGTGTTTATACTGTAAAGAGAGTGGGAAGCTGGACAGTCCCAGCTTCAAGTTTCCATCCTGTTTTTGCCAGCTGTGGTGGAGGTGTTAGGGGAGGTAGCATTCCAGCTGTTATCTGGGCCAGCCTGAGGAAGATGGGGGTTGGGAGGAAGGTGGAAGAGGGGCAGGGGATGGAAGAAAGGGAAGGCAAAGACAGCATCCGTTCTTAGGGGGAGTTCAAAGCATCCTACAGACCTCTTCCTTCCATTGTTTATCTTCCCAGTTTATGTTCACCTTCACTACAGGATCCTGCTCCTGCCAACCACAAAGTTGTTTCAAAATGCCCAGACCTAGGTACTCTGGGTACTGTTCCTCAGGAAAGTGCTGGGGGTGTGGGTGGGTGGGAAGCAAGCATCTATTAAGTATGTACCACAGGCCAGGCACTGGGTTAACAAATATTATCTCATTTGATCCTCAGAACAATCCGGGTAGTTAGGTGCTATTATTATTCCCATTTTATCGCTGAGAAAACTGAGGAAAACACAGGTTAAGTGACTTGCCCAGGATCCTAGAGCTAGTAAATGTCTGAGGCTGAATCTGAACTCAGGGCTTTCTGACTCCAGGCCCAGCATTCTTTTCACTGTACCACCTAGCTATCACTGACCCCACAATTAGTCCTTATGCTCCCTCCCCCTGGGGAATCAGCCCTTGATGGTTACTTTCTCACCAGCGAATCATTTCATTAAGGTTTTTTTTTTCCCCCTTGGGAGAGATGCCAAGTGCAATAGGGCAGGAAGGACAGGGACAACACTAATAATACGAAATACTGGTACTAAGAGTTGACATTTATATCATGCTTTAAGGTTGGCAACGAATGCACTTTGTACATATTTGAGCCTCACAACAACCCTGTCAGGAAGATGCCGTTAACCTCATTTTAAAATAAGAAGTTAAAAATACAGTATCAGACCAAACACTTGACACTTTCTAGCTGTGTGACCCTAGGCAAGTCACTTAACCCCAAATTGCCTAAAAATAAAATAAAATAAGAAGTTAACTTACCCAGGGTCACACAATTAGTATCTGAGATGGAATTCAAATTCAAGTCTTCCAAAAATACTGAACTTGGAGTTTTAAAATCAGAGTCATGGAATCTGAGTTTGAATCTTGGTTCTGCTACTTACTATTTGTGTGTCCTTGGCAGGTCACCTAACCTCTCTGGGCCTCAGTTTCCTCATCTGTAAAATGAAAGGGTTGAACCAGATGACTTCTAAAGTCCTTTCCAGCTCTAAATCTATACTACTATGCTCCAAGTCCATGCTGAGTTGCTCTGAAGTCTTCCCTGCACCCCTAAAATCCCACTGAAGAAGAGTTCCTGGGGAATGCTTCTACCCCTGCCATGTTCCCTAATGTTAGAAGTCCCCTGTCCCATGTTTTCTCAGCTCCAGTCTCAATTTCTCTGCCCAAGGGGCAGAAAACTCAGCAGCCTCACAGAATCACAAGGTCAAACTGGGAGGGGCCTGGGGAGGAATCTTAGAACCCAGAATGTCAGAGCTGGAAGGGGCCTTAGGACATAGAATATCAGAGCTGGGAGGGACCTTAGAACACAGAGTTGTAAACGGCTTTAGAATACAGAATTTCATATCTGGTTTTTTTTTTTTTGAGACAATGGGGTTAAGTGACTTGCCCAGGGTCACACAGCTAGTAAGTGTTATGTGTCTGAAGCTGGATTTGAACTCAGGTCCTCCTGAATCCAGGGCCAGTGCTCTATCCACTGTGCCACCTAGCTGCCTCGCAGAGTTTCATATCTGAAAGGGTCCTTAGACATCATGTTGTTCAAACCTCTCACTTGACAATTAGGATTCCGACAGGTGAAAATGAGGAAGTTATTCCAGAAGGAGACTGAGAATTGAAAGCAAAGACTTAGAGGTAGGAAAATGAAGGGGGGAGGCGCAGGGGTGGGTGTGTGTGTGTGTGTGTGTGTGTGTGTGTGTGTGTGTGTTCTGGGAATGGTAAACAGTTCAGTTTGGCTGTAGTGTAGGGTGTGTGAAAGGGAGCAGTGGGAAAATAAGACTGGAGAGGTCATGTCAGGTTAAAGAGGGCCCAGCATGCCAGACTGAGAAGCTCACGCATTTGCTTGGAGTCTGGGGCACAGCTTGCTTTCATCTTCATTTCCTTCAACCTCCTCATCCAGACTTACACTTCTGGGAATCTCCCAAAGCTCCCACATACTCATTTCTTCTCACACAACAGTTTTTCCTCTCCAAAAGGTAGGCTGCATGAAGAAGTAAAGGAAGGACATCAGGAGAGCGTCTTGTTATTGATACAAAAAAAAAAAGGTTTCTTAAGTTAGGATAGCTCACCAAAAAATGTCTGCTTCTAAAAACTGTCTGCTTTCTGTCCTGTTTCCCTCCCTGAACTGCTCAAAGAAAGCTGAAGGATCTGAGCCATCTCCATCTTGAGCCCCTGACCCTAAGAGGGGGGGTCCTCTTTCTCAATTACATATCAATGGATGGAGTAAAGGGCCCCTGCTTCATGGGCCTCATGGATTCCCATCTGGGCTGGCTGTTGGGTTGAAGGTCTTGGTCATTTTGGGGAAAAGGTATAAGCCATTGCCTCTACCTTTGTTTATTTCAAACTCTGAACCCTGAAAAGGGAGAAAACCTCTATACAAAGCATAGGTGCCTACCTACCTAAGTGGTTAGAGAATGGTATGAATAATGACAAAGTATGATTTTATGTGGATTGGTCAGTTTTGCTCTGTCTCCCAGCTATCTCATATCTCAACCCTGACCACCAACTGATCTGTAACCTCAAACATAGACTGACCTAACAACCCTGTCCCCCAATTGAGCCTTTAACCTCAACCACATAAAGAAATGGAAACTAAAGGGGTCCTCGTAAACAGGAGAATGGTTAAAAAAAATTATGGTACATGAATGTAGTGGAATACTATGGAAATGATGAAAGGGATGGTTTCTGGGAAACCTGGGAAGACTCTAATTATGAACTAATACAGAGTGAAGTGAGCAGAATCAGGAAGACAATTTATACCATAACAACAACATCGTAAAGACAAACAACTTTGAAAGACTAAAGAACTCTTAACAATGTGACAAATCATGATTCTGGAGAACTGATGATGAGACATTCTACTCACCTGACAAAGAGCTGATGGATTCAGTGTGTGGAATGACACAACTTTTGGACACGACCAACGAAGGCATTGGTTTTTCTTAACCATTTGACATGTTTATCACAAGGTTGTTCTTTTTCTCTCTCAATAGTTGAAAGAAGTATAAGGGAGAGAAAAAAATATTTTTGTTCATTGAAAATAAAATTTAATTAAAAAGCCCCTCAACCACAGTTTGAGTCCTGAGCCCATCTGTTTATCTTACAATGCTTATCACTAATCCCAAGAAGTATTAGGAGTGTGGATGGTTCAGTAATAGACCCACCTCATTCCACCCCTCTAATACTAGAGAGACAGTTTAATACTGCTTTCTTCACTCCTGCCAATATACCCAGCTAAGATTTATAGAACATTTCAATGTTTACAAAAGTTTTACAAATATCATCGCATTTGAGCTTTGTGTCAACCCTGTGAAATATTGCAAGTACCATTGTTTCTGCTTTACAGGTGAAGAAACTGAGGTTCAGAGAGTTGACTTGCCCATGGCCATAAACCTGATAAGAATTAGAGGAAGGGGTTTAGACTCAGGCATTCCTGAATCCAGGCCTAGCATTCTATCCACAGCTGCCTTTCTGAATCACACCATATATTCCTTCAACACAGGAGCTGTCTGTAGGCACTGCACCACCCCTATAGACCTTACTGGGTGAAATGTTGGCAGGAAGGAACCTCCTTGGGGATGAAGACCTTATTTAGAAAACTTTCTTTGTTTCTAAACAGGAAGAATTGGGCTCAACTGGGACATTTCCCTTACCTCACAAACAGCACTATCTCTAGATTATTCTGGCAGAAACAAGAATATTAAATCTCCCTTTCTCTGCCTCTTCCCCATTCCCAGTGCTAATGGCATGGGCTGCTTGGGATAGTAGACACACCTTTTTTATGCTTTTCTGTGCCCTTCAATTTTGTGCACTTGAGGAAAGTGCTTTATTTGCCTCATTCTTGTTACAATTCTGCCTCAAAGCCCAGAGTTTGAACTCTAGCTCCTTAGAATTGAACACAGTAGTCTTCACTTGGCAAGGAGCTTTCTTTCTGCCTAGTGACCATGGTATCCCTAAAAGACTTTTAGAGCAGCTAGGTGTTACAGCCAATAGAGAACTGGGCATGGAGTCAGGAAGACTCATCTTCCTGAATTCAAATCTGGCCTTATATGTTTACTAACTGTGTGATCTTGTGCAAGTCACTTAACCCTGTTTGCCTCAGTTTCCTCATCTGTAAGATTAGCTGGAGAAGGAAATGGCAAACCACTTCAGTATCTTTGCCAAGAAAACCCCAAATGGGGTCACAAAGAATTGGACATGACTGGAACGATTGATGTGTTTTCCTTTGTTTTAGATATCACAGGGCAATGTCTTGACTTGCATGTGAATTGGATTAAGTAAGTCAAGATGATTGGCAATGGCCCAGGATGCAGTGGATGACCTTGGCATCTGATCAAGCTTTAAGCCCACCACAGTGCCTGCTTTAGCTGACTTCATGGCATTTGGAACAAATTGTTTTCATTCATCTATTCCACCAGTGATAGTCTTCACATGCTTGGAGTAGACATCTCCCTAACTCACCTATGGGTTTGAGGTCTGTTGGTTACCCGTAACCTAGTTTAGCCTGTCTGGGTGTGTTTGTTTTGCATGCTGCAGCTTCCTGGAGTCACAGGTGAGAGCTGGGTTCAGCATCCTTGAAAAGGGCTGGGCAAGCCCTCATACCACAGGTGCTAGTTTTCCCTGAACACTGCATACAGCAACAAAGAAGAGAAGGCCTGGGCACACATATGACCGAGAATGTAGAGCAGAGTGTGGTAAAGGCCGTAAGAGAAGTCCAAACAAAGGGCTGTAGGAACATAGAAGAGGGAGAGAACACCAAGATACTATATATGAAAAGAATCCTAGACAAATTGACTTACTTCTGACAATAATGCATTGTAAAGAACTTTGCAAATCTTGAAGTGCTATAAAGCATTAGTTATCATCCTGACCCTCGTTGTTATTGCTACTATCACTAGCATTATTATTACTGTCTTGTGGCTTTGAATAATTCATCGAACCTTTTTATGTCTCAGTTTGTTCATCTACAAAATGAGGGGATTGGATTGGATATCTTCAGAGGCAGGCAGCTTAGTGCACAGGGTGCAGGACATGGAGTCTGGAAGACCTGAGTTCAAATACCACCCCAGACACTAGCAGTTTTAGCCCTGGGCAAATCACGTCACCTCTGTGGCCTCAGTTTCCTCATCTGTAAAATGGGAATAATAACAGCACCTACATCACAGGGTTGTTATGAAGATCTAATGAAATGCTTTGTGAGCCATAGGAACTACATAAATTCTATTGTTACATAAAATTTCTTCCAGTATTAGATCCTATGATCCCAAGATCCCTTCCCATTAGGGCAGACTTCACAAAAGAAGTTATGTTTGTTCCCTCTCTTCAGCAGAAGCTAGGCTCATCCTTGCCTTGGTTTTTTGTACAAAGCAGTTGTCTTTTGGGTGGGAATTATTTGCCCTCTTTTTTGTTCATCCAAAGACTACTCATCCTTGGGAGCTTAGCTGAAATCTTACCCATTACATGAAGGCTTCTCTGACCCACAGTCATGTGATCAGAGGACCACAGATTTAAAGTTAGAAGTCCCCTTGTTATACAACTAATGCCCAAAGATATACAGTGACTTGCCTAAAGACAGAAAGATAGTAAGGAAAGGTAGTCACTGAAGACAAAGTCTGCTGCCTATATGATTTTGCCATCTCAGATAGTCTGGGGCTCAATAAATCATCATGAGATAAGCCTTAGTTTTCCCATCTGCAAAATCAGGGAAGGAGAACTAGACTACCCAGACTAAATACTGAATATTTCCTCTCTCTAAAGTGATTCATTCTGATCAACTCTCAGTCATCTGAGAATGGACAATCATTCATTCATTCGTTCATTCATTTATTCAATAAATATTTAAGAAGTGCCTACTAAAATACAAAGCACTACATTTATTTACTTTGGGGAGATAAAAGAGCTAGAAGGCACAGTCCTTGACCTTAAAAAATTATTCTCTAGTCAAAGAGAGAAGGCATGGACACACACATGATGGAGAGCACAAAGCAGAAAAAGGTAAAAGTCATAAGAGAAATACAAACAGTTGTGGGAACGCATGATATAGGTATGAAAAGAGATGCAGGTTTAGAGTAAGACAGCTTGCCTCTGCTGCTTGCTTTTGGAGACAACGTATTATAAAGAGATTTGCAGACTAAACTAGATTTTCTAGATCTAGATTCTTGGAGCCCATCATCCTCACCAACACTGGGCCCGTACTCAGGAAGCTGCTCCCCACCCTTAGACTCCACAGTCACAGGGCTCCCAGATTTCAGCAATCCCTAGCTCCCAGACTCTGTACTAGTAATTCAATGGTGAGTTCTGCCCCCAGCAAGTAAGGATTTCAGGGCAAGCTCAGAGGGAACAAAGAAGCCATGGGGAGTAGGGAGGGAAGAAAAGGAGGGGAACAAACCGCCTGCTTGTCCAACTGAAACGACATTCCTCTCACCCTAGAAGCACCCCCTGTTCAGGAAAGGACTGAAGAGAAAAAAAAAAGCCAGGACAAAAGACGGACGTGATGCTTAGCATGTGTGTACTTATCTCAACTCTGCACTCAGCCTACAGAAGGACACCGCCTGCCTCTCTCTCCCTGGCAAAACCGGAAACTCTCATCTCCGCTGAGCTCTTTCCTGTCTTGACTTAACCTTCAAGCTGTGGTTTGCTCTGCTAGAGGGGCTTAGGGGAAAGAAATGGTGGGGTGGTGGGGGGGAGAGAACAGAACTAGGCTCCTTGGTCCTGGCCCTCCTAGCCCCCACACACCCAGACAAATTCTCTGCTGAGTACAACTAGAGTTCGGCAGAGGCCATGGGACTCAGGCTGAGGACTCTGCTCTCTTGAGAGACGGTGCAATGAACATATACCACCTGGTCCTCATGAGTGACCTACCTGTTCCACCATTTATAGATTTGTGAGAGCTTTATCAAGTTGTCCAACTGAACAAATCCCACGTGGGCTTCTGAGATCGGGCATAGGGGAAACAGCAAGGAAGGGGAGGATTATTTTAGGAGACCGGGTAGGCCACAGGAATCTAGGATTCCTGAGTCTTAAGAGCATCCAGTAAAGAGGAATAGGGGTATAGCCTGAGGTAGAAAGGGGTGCAAAATTTCCATATTCTCCCAGTCCCTGAAAGACACTGTTGACCTTGGGTCCCTAGTGGGCCACCCAGAGTTAAAGAAGACAGAGGGATTGGAAAGGGAGAATTTCTACACTACCAGGTCCTTGGCCAGTCCTGCTCCAAGGGTGTGTCTCCCCTAGAAGAAACTCTAGGGACCCTTTTCAGGTGCTGGGGAGTGAGGAGTCACGCGCCTGAGCCCTGGTTCGGCTGTCACAGGACTGGATCCTAAAAGCTCTGAGAAGTAGCCATCCTGTCTTGGAAATATGGGTGGTTCCATTTGCAAAGAAACTTGAGAGGAAACCCAGCCCAGTGTCTGCTACTAAACACCAGTATACAGGGTTATAGGTGTGTGTGACCTTAGACAAGTGACCTAACTTCCTTGGGCCTCAATTTCCTTATTTGTAAAATGAGAGAGTTGGACGAGATAGCCTGAGGTCCCTTCTAGCCCTTGCTCCATGATCTTATGGTCCTTTCATCTTCTCCTTAACATTGTGAAGTCCCCTGGGGTCAGCACATCTCTCAGGATCCTATCTCTGGCAGGGCCATTGAGTTTCTCTGCCATTCCCCTACAGGTTAGAGACCTTACCAAGCACCTCGAACTTCTCTTTATAACTTGTTAAGTAGCTGTCATTTAGGGCATCTAAATGCCCCTTTGAGGAGAGTTATTTCTCTAAGTTTACAGTTTTGATATGTGATATAGTCTCATCTTTTATCTGTCCAAAAACTAGTATACTGTTGTATAAGAGAAAGGAGTACAGAAAGAACTGGGCTTTTAAAAAATTGTTTTGTTCTGTTTTGTATTCCCATGAGTCAAATTTTTTTTTTTTTTAGTGGGGAAACTTACAGAGTAAACTATGACATTTGGGATGAATCCCTAGGATCGATCCTTTCTCTGCTCAGAGCATGAGTTTGCAAAAAACCCTATAACCATAACTGTGAATGACTAAACTATTCTGAATAATATGAACATTCAAATTAATTACGAAGGACTTATGAAGGAAAATTCTATCCACCTCCAGAGGAAGAACTGACATAAGGAAGTATGTATTATATGGTTCCACATATATCTCTTTATATAAGTTGGCCTTCTCTAATGCAGGCCTGGGAAGGAGGGAGGAAGAAAACTTGGAACTCAAAATTTCAAAATAAATAAATATAAGATTAAAAAAAAGCCTCCATAACCTAACCAGTTGGTTGGGGAGAGGCAAGTTGAAATATGGCAAACCCACAAACTTTCAGAGAAGTGGCTGGGAAGACAGAGGATTTTAAACAACACTGAAATGCATCTGTTTCCTGGAGCAACTGTGAAAAAGAAGGGGAAGGGGAGGAGGGGAGAGGCAGAATCCAGCTCCAAGGTGGTCACTGGGATTCTTACTACTGATTTCTGGTGCTCCGTGTGTGGCCCTACCTAATCAAATGCCATAAAGTCCCCTACTTCTGGGGCTACTACCCTATTGCCCCTTTAGTTCAGCTCACAGCCACACCCTTGCTACAGGCCTGCAGGGAACCTTCCCACCCATTGATAATCTTCTCATCCAGGAAAGTTGGTGGGGAGGGAGCTGGAAATGCTGAGTGAGTGGTTATGGGGAGGGCCTCCACTGAGGGCAGGAAGATGACCGGAGGCTGGACATCCTGTTTGGCTCTTTGGCCTGGAAACCTTGTGGAAAATCAAAACCTGCCCCATAGTTTGTTCTTCCTCCTCCCCCCATGGACAACCTGACTTCTTTGCACTGAGTTAGTTTTGTTATTGTCTATCTGCGAGGTTGGGGAATGGAGAGAAATGCTAACTTTTCAGGCTAGGAACAATTTCTTTTACAAAGTCACTGTGCCTCTTTTTCTAGGAGTAGATCAGGTAGACAATTCCCTATTGGTGAACAGAGTCATTATTCTCATGGAGGAGTAGTTTTAGGAGCAGAGGCCTGGCATATTTTTCCTTCTCTGATCTGGGAGCCTAGCTACAAATAGTTCCCAGAGATGGGGAAACCTATAGCACATAATCAATGGTTGTGTTTTGGACAAGTTAGAAAGGACCAGAAAGAGACCTGGGACCTTATGGGTCAAGTGGGTAATAGCTCCCACTCCTCCCCTATCCTAACCCTAACTGCCTCTCTTCCTTCTCCCACCCTGCTTTCTCTTCTGCCCCCACTTCCCTCCCCGGCCCCAAATCCCTGAAAATCAGACTGATAATTCTCAGTCTGTACTACTGTATGACCCAAGGCTAAGTCAGAAGCACATCCAAAGGCTGGTGGTCATTCATTCAACAAGCATTCATTAAATTGTGTATTAGGTCTAGAGGAGATAAAATGTTTAGATAAGACTGGTCCAAGTCTTCATGTAGAAGACACAGCTTACAATTCTCTGTTCTTCTGGGAATCAGCAGCATTTCCTTAGAAACTTGGTCCACCCTAGAAAGTGTCTGAAAGGAGAGACACACAGAAAAAAACATGAAAGGGGGTAGAATGTGGGGGGGGGCAGGAATCTTGATCTCTTTTCTATGCTAAGACCTTACATTCTCTCCTTAAAGCTTGCCACCCCTCTCTCCAATTCTCCCCCCCACCAAAGCCCCTTGTCTTAGGGAGAAGGCATGGGGCAGTTTAAGGCATTCTCTTGTGTTAAATCCTAAGGTAAAGCAACCAACCCCTCTACAGAGCTAGTCGGAGCTGAGGAGATCTAATGATATTCCTGCTTAACCTTTAACTTTTATTTCCAAAGCTGGGATAGTCAGTCATGTAATATTATATCCCAATGGCCCTTGTTCTTGCAGTCTCTGAGAATGGAGATGTTTACGGGCACCATTGGCTGCTAGTGGGTGTCTTTTAGAACAGAATCATAGCTCTCTACATTCTCTTTGGTGTCCCTGGGCTCCGGTCGGCTAGACGATAATGTCTGTGTTAAGCCAATAGGATGAACCCTTCCTCTAAAGTGATATCTTTTCAAGGATTCATGCTACTTTAAAAGAATTCTTAATTAATTCTAAAAATTCTTAATAAAATTTCTTAATAAATTATTTCTAGTTTTTTTTTTACCCCCCTCCTTCCTAATTTGCCCCTATTCCCCACCCCTTTAGCTGACCACTGAACGGCCAACTTAGTTTAGGGATAGTAGCACTCACTCAAGTGTTACACATGCTTTTTCTGCCACCTAGAATAACCTCCCTTGTCTCCCTTCCACTTATTGAGGCCCCTTCTATCATTTAGGGCTCCGCTCAAGTCTCATGAAACCTTGGCTATTCGTCAGTCCTCACTGATCTAATTTTCTCAGTTCTTATAGCATAATTTTAAAATATTCTATCTTGCTCTATCTTATATTATCTATACCTATTGGCCCCTAATTGACCACAGACAGCCCCCTCCCCCCATCCCAGCCATGGCTAAACTCAGGTCCCTAACCTTGGCCACAGAAGGATTTCCCAACCCAAGCTACAGACTGAGCCCTAGCCCCACTAGCATTCTTACAATGTGGCTCATCTGGACTGTCAGAGACTGACACTAAGATGTAAGCCCCATATCAATGGGACCCATGGTACTGTGCAAAGTACATTAGGACCATTCAGTCTCAAGACTTGTTAAAACTCTGGTCTAGGGGCTCTTAACCTTTTTTTGGGGGGGGTGATCAAACAGGGCAGCTGGTGGGGCATTGGATAAAGCACTAGAACTGGAGTCAGGAAGACCCGAGTTTTCTTTCAGAGAGACCTGAATCCAGCCTTGGACACTTGCTTAGCTATGTGACCTGGGACACATTATGGAACCTTCTTCTGCCTCAGTTTTCTCATCTGTAAAATGGGGATAATAACAGCATCTATCTTCCAGGGTTGTTGTGAGGATCAAATGAGAGAATATTTGTAAAGTGCTTAGCCCAGTGCCTGGCACTTAGTAGGTGCTTAATAAGTACTTATTCCTTTGTCTTCCCTCACAGGACCTTTTTAACAGTCTAGTGAAGCTAATGGATCCCCTCTCAGAATATTTTAAATGCATAAAATAAAATATATAGGGTTATAAAGAAAAGCAATTATATTGAAGCATAATTGCCAACATATTTTTAAAAATTTATGGAGTCTCTGAAATCTATTTGTGGACCCTTTGTGAGGGTGTGAACTCCTGCTTTAGATAAAGGACACACACACACACACACACACACACACACACAGAGTACAGTCACAATGAAGATCTGTGTCATGCAATGGAAAATATGCCAGGTTTGGTGTCAGAGGAAGAGGTTTTGAATACTGGCTCTGCTTCCTGTGTGATGTTGACCAAATCATCTAAGTTTTCTGGGCCTCGGTTTTTCCATCTGTAAAATGAGCATGTTGGAGTAGACAGTCTCTGAAATCTCACCCTGCTTCAAATCTATGTTCCTGTGACCCAAAGGATGTTTAGACAAGAGACAAGTAAGACTGGGCTTACCCTGGGTAGGGAGGCAAGATCCCTTTGTGGGGCAATGAGAAAAAAGGGAATCACATTCATTCTGAGTTATAAGTGCCTAGTCTCAGAGCCTTTCTTGAGAGGGAGAAGTGTAGTTGGTAACCAAAAATGAGGAAAGTGGTGCCATGTAAGTGTGAGAGGGGCAGGAAACAGAGGCTGGGGGCACCATGGGCAGACTTCACCAACTTCAAAGTATTGCCAGCTGAAGGATGGTCCTGGAAATAACTCACTGATTATCCAGTTGTCCAATTTGTAAGAGACATGGAACAGTCTTAGACTTTGCCTACAGTGAAGGTCTGGAGACTGCCTGAATCTGCATCCCAACAAACTGTCAGACTCACATACTTAGCACCCAAAGCTAATGAGGAGAAACAATGGGAAATTCCACAGAGGTGAAGGAACATTCTTAAATAGAATGTTCACAATCTCCTTAAACAATGAGGGAATGTTTCCAGCAGCCAAAAAGTCCTGCAATGCCTTGCTGTACTTGTTGGGACCAAAATAGATTACCATTTGGGTTGCAAATGCAATGGATCTTTGGCTTAGAATAGATTCTCCACCAAGGGCAGTTGTATGTTTCTGAAAGCCAGATGCAAGAAGGTGGTCCTAAGGACTGCTCTGTATCTACTTGACATTACTGTAGCTCCTGCTATGGAGGAAGGCCAGTGCTTTCCATTGGTGGCGGAGACTGGGTGGGAATGGGCATCACGGATAGCTATAGGTGGCCAGTGGCTAGTGGCCATCTGGCAATGTCTTCTTTGAAGGAAACACAAAGGCCTAATGGGAAACCCCACATAGCTAAGTTCTGGAGGCATTTCCAGTTCTGATAATCCAACATGGAACAAAACTTAGTTCTTCTTTGCTACTTTAAATCCTACCCATTCTTTAAGGCCTAGCTTACCTCCTCTGTGAAGCAAGTCCAATCACCCTAGCTCCCAGTCATCTCTCCCTTCTCTTAACCGTTAAAGCATTTAGAATCTCTAATATACAACCTATGACTGCCCTCTATTCAAAGAAGACATGAAAGTCCAATGTGTTTCCTAGTTTCAGAATTAGAAGGGATCTTGGAATATAGAACATAGCACATCAGAGTAGAAGGGGAACCTTAGCACATGTGAATGTTGGCATGAAGAATATGGAATGTTGGCATCTAGAAGAGATCTCAATTCAGCTCTCTATTTATGGAGCTCTCTGAATTCATGGAGGGGATGACAGTCTCACATCAATTGATGAAAACTGCAATGTTTGGGGGGTGGTGTTCACACTTACAAAACAATCACAAGTTGGACTGTTATGATCCCTCACTAGGAATGTCTTGAGCTCCTCCCTTGTGAGTGTGCTTGGTTGGTCACTTGAGCTAACCTGCTGGAACACTGTCTGTCATTTGTAGGATCACCCTTCTGGGAAGCTGACCAAGTTTGTTGTGCCCTCAAACTCCCTTTTCTGTCCCTTTCACTCCTATGAAGTGACTTTCAGTCACCTAAAATTGTTCTTAATTGGAGGAAATGTGGGGAATAAATGAGAAGAAAGAGGGTTGGTCCCTGCCTTTGGTGAGCATACAACTTGGTGAGAATGACAGAACCCACAGGCTTAATATAACACAGTCAGGAAAGTCTTGGGGTGGGGGTGGGGTGCAGATATTTTGTAGTAGAATTTGTTATTTCCATGTCAGCTAAACTTGGGCCCCTTTGAACTACAATGGGAATGCTGGAATATGAAAAGACCTTTTAGTTTAGGCAAGTCACATGCTATTGTGAGTACCTGTGGTACCTTGCCACTTAGCTAACCTCTCTAGGCCTCAGTTTCCCCATCTGTAGAACGAAAGGGTAATTCTACATGGTCTCTAAGGTTTCTTCTAACTTTAACATTCTATGATGCCATTTCTGTAACCTAGTTGTCGACCCTCTCTCCTCCTTTTCCTCCCCATCCCCCCCCCCAACAACACAGCTAAATGAGAATTTGAATTCTCATCAGGAAAAGTCTCTGAACTAAATTTATGTCTTCAACCCCCAACGCTCAGACCTTTATTCTTTCAGGCTCTTAAATGAGAGGTCATTCTCCCTTGCCTTTCCCCTCACCCCCTGAAAAATGTCTAATTCCTCTTGACGCAGTTCCCTTTCCCCTCTGGAGAAAAGTTTTTATTGTTCTTTAGAGCTGGCTCCCAATCTCCCCCTCACACTCACTTCCTGTTTCCTGGCTTAGAGGAAACACAGATTTCTCGACAGGCTAAGCAAATGCCTCTTTTTTTTTCTTTTTAAGGATATGGAAAAAAAAAAGCTCACTGCTTTGAATCCTAAAGTCATAGAAAATACAACGTAGGAGCTGGAGGATCTTAGTATACAGAACCCTACAACACAGAACATAGAATGTTAGAACTAGAAGGGCCCTTAGAGATCATCTACTCTGAAATTCCTCATTTCATATATGGGGAAAGTTGAAGCCCAGAGAGCGGAAGTAACTAACTCCTGGTTTCCAGATCATAGATTTAGGAACTGGAAGGAATCTTAAAGGTTATCTAGTCCAACTCCTTCATTTTACAGATGAGGGAACTGAGGTGGAGAGGCAAGGTGACTTTTGTCCCTGAATAGCTCAAAAGTTGTATTCCAGCATATGCCAGGTAGTAAGTGGCAGAGATGGATTCAAATCCAGGTCCCCTGACTCCAGAAGGATCTCTCCATTGAAAAAGGAGTAGAACCCAGGTCTTGAGTATGCACACAGTCCACTGCATTTCACTAAGATCAGGTTGGGGGTGGGGAGGGGAAACTGAGAGGTGGTGAAAAGAATTCAGTGTCACTCCCTGCTCTTTCCAACCAAACCTCAGGCTTGGTAGAGTACCCGTAGGAGCACATGATGAAAGCGGGCTCAAACTGCACCAAGCTAAACTGGAGAATCTTTTAAAGTTGCTCAATAACCACCCATTCTTGGGAATTTCCTTTTACTCTAAGAAAAAAGTTATCATTGTTTTCTTGGTTTCATCTTTTTAATAAGATTCTGATAAAAAAATAGCCCTGGGGCAAGTCACTAGCTGGTTATTATTCCATTACATTTAATGTCCCATAGATTATTGCACAGGTGGACAAAATCACTACTTTTTCTTGTAGAATGGAAGGATCAGGATTTAAGCTCATTCTCCATAGACTCTCTGAAGCATTCTTGGGATAACTTCGGAAGCAGACAGGACAACAGGAATGGGCACCATATTCTTTGCTCAAATGAATTTGTTATCCTCTGTGAGGTCTTTGCATTTTGAAAACTCGTCATTCTATTTAGCTTGGAGACAATGAATCATTGGTATGATGCTATCTATTAAAAACATTATTCTTACATTTTTATGGACCAATGTGATGTCTGGGTGAGAGTGGGCAACAGTTTGGTCTGTGATGATGGTTCAGCTCATTATTATCATCATGATCATTTGTTAGATTTTCACAGCACGTTAACAAGTGGTGTCATTTTGGAAAGTTTCCACTTATACCTCTTACCATGTCTATGGTTCTTTGTCTATTCTCTTTCCTTTCAAAGCACAGGACCTTTATTTTTAGTAATATTTTTTTTTGGACAAACCCTCACTGGTAGGTTAAACTTCCTCATTGCTTACCCTAGTCCTAGGGAAGTCTCACTTTCCTCTGGCCTCTGGACTCCTATGGGACAGGAGGATAGTGGCATCATCCTTATTTTCTTCTTGCCCTTACCAGGCTGCCAAGTTTCACACAGGACAGAGTCAGCTGGGAAGAGAAAGGGCACAATTCTTAGAGGATGCCAGAGATGGAAGGAGCCTTAGAACATAGGATGTTAGAGCTACAAGAATCTTAAAAGCAAAGAGAATTAGCATTTTTCAAAGTACATATTATGTGCCAGGCACTGCTCTAAGCCCTTTACAAATATTAGTTCATTTGAACCTCATAACAACCCTGTGAGCATAAACGGAACTGGGATCCTTAACTTCTTAATGTCATATTACAACCTTTGGCAGTTTGGTGAAGTCTATGTATAGGCTTTTACTCTTATGTTTTATTCAATGTTTCAAGATCCTGTCTAGTTCTGAAGCTAGGAAACAATTGGGCTATTATTACGCACTTTTTGAATAGAGGACAGCCTATAATCAACAATACTTTGAAATGCACAAAATAAAATATACAAGATTACAAAAGAAACAAACTATATTGAAATATAGTTATCAAAATATTTTTAAAAGCCGAATTCTTGAACCCCAGGTTAAGAACCTCTGATCTAGAACATTAGGATTGGAAGAGATCTTAGAATATAAAATGTCCAAACTGAAAGGAATCTTAGACCAAGGCATATTAGAACTAACAGGGACCCTGGGACTAGATTATCCAAGCTGGAAGGGAATTTAGAATTTGTAGTGTGAGAAGCAGAAGGGGCTTTAGGACATAGAATGTTACGGTTGGAAGAGACTTTAATCACCCCAACTCCCCTCACCTAACAGGAGGAAACTGAGTTCTAGAAAGGGGAAGGGACTTGTCCAAAGTCCCTTCCAGCTTTAAGAGTCTTTATAAAACCAAGCTAACAAGACTTGGAAATAAGATTCAAATGTGAGTTTTCTGACTAATTCCAACACTCTAACATATCATGTTGCCAGGAGAAGGAGTATTGTGTGGGAGAGGGGTGATTCTTATGGAAAAGGTAAGGGGATAAGGAAGGACACTGCTCATGAAAATAATACATTTGACTTCTATAATCCTATTCAGTTAAATTCAACAGTTATTCATTGGATGTGTCTTGAGTGCCTAGAACTATTCTTGACTATGCTATGTAATTTAAAAAAAGACACATTCTTCTCTTTAGACATCTCATGGGTCCTTCCAAGGATGAATCCATGCATTGGGAAGGGAACTTGGAGATCAACTATTCCAATCCCCTCGTTTTACATAAGAAGAAACTGAGACTCATGAAGAAATGAATTAGGATCATAGAATCATAAGTCTAGAGCTCCCTGAAAGGGACCCTAAAGGCTATCAAGTCCAACCTTCTCATTTTACAGATGGGGAAACTGAGGACCAGGAAAGTTCAATGACTTGCCCAGGGTCACACAGGAACAAATCATCAGGGGGTAGATTTTGAATCCAGGTCTTGTGATTCTAAAGCCAACACCCTTTCCATGGTACTACGTGTCCTTCTTGACCAAAGTCACACAGACTGGAACTCAGGTCTTCTGACCTGAACATGGTCAAGATCTATGTTCCATAAAGTGACTACTGGCTTCTAGAGCCCAATGGTCTTTCTATTATACCTTATTTTTAACCTCTGGGTAAGACTGGTTCTTTTGTGCCCCACATTGAAAGAACTGGTTTAGTGCCCTTCCCTCCCCGAGAGAGAGATGGGGAAAGGAGAACTATGTGTAAAGAATCCAAGGAGAGGTCTCCCACAGCCAGTGCTGGGTGGGACTCAGCTGATGAAGCAGGGAATCAGGAGGGAGGCTACAATGGCCTTACAGAAGAACAGCAAAATCCCAGGACAGGGGTTGGGATGTTCCAGTCCTTATTGTCACATGAGGAAATAGCAGGAAATGTCCGGGATTTTTTTTTTAATAACAGAGTTCTCTCTGATTGGGCTCTGGGGTCACAGACTTATATTTGGACAGTTCTTAGTCACTAAAACTAGATTTCAGCTTCTAATTGTTGGGAAGTACAGTCCAGGTATGACCCTGAGCAGGTTTCCTGGCACTATACCTGAGAAACTGTAAGGTTGACAAGGTTGGATCTCCTTGGGGCTAGAACAATGCTAGTGCCTTTGTTGGTGTCCCCTAACTAAAGCACCCCTGGATGAATCCTACCCATCCTTAAAGGCCCAGCTCAAATTCAAGTTTTTCTGTAAACTCTTCTCCTAACTGATTATTCAAGCAGCAGCGATCTCTCTTCCCCTTAGATAGTCCAGAATTTTATTTTTACTCCACACAATTTCGTTCCTCTGTGTGTTGTTGGAACATTATCCATGTTCTTTAAGGCTCAGTTTTGTTAGACTAACCTCTCAGAAGTGCCTCCCCCACCCCCATAGGCCCTCACCTCCCAATTCCAGGAGAATAGTGGTGACTTGGGCTATGCTGCCTGGACAACCAACCAAATTTTCTTCAGACAGTGCCAGTGCTGATTAACGTACAAATCTGTAAGTCCAGACCAGGAGTTTTTAGCTTTATTCTGTGTCATGAACCCATTTGGCAATCTGCTAAAGGCTATGGACCCCTTTTCAGAATAATATCTTTATGATGCGTATGGTGACACACACCTGTAATTCCTGAGGCTTATAGACCACTTGAGTTTGGGAGCTCTGAGCTTCAGTGTGGCTAAAGCTGATTGGTTGTTTGTACTAAGTCCAGCACCAATATGGTGGGCCTCTGGGAGCAGGGGGCCACCAGGGTGTCTAGGGAAGGAAGAGTCAGTCTAGGTCAGCAACTGAGCAAGTCAAAGCTTCCATTCCAGTCAGCAGTGGCTGCTGCACTTCCATGCTGGGTGAGAGAGTCTCAAAAAGAAAAAAAAAGGGTTTTAAATGCATGAAATAAAATGCAGAGGATTACAAAGGAAACCAGTTATACTAACATATAGTTATCAAAACATTAAAAAAAAACGACAAGTTCACAGACCTCAAGTTAAGAATTCCCAATTTAGACTCTCCAACTCTGACTTCAGGAAGTGTCTTATGCATACATCTTTGTTTCCCCTAAGCATAGGAGATTTTAGTGTTGGGCTCACCATAGGTATTTATTGAATTGAATGGATTGGAATTATGGAAATTCCATTTGTTTTGTTTTGTTTTTTTCATGAGTCTAGTGTCCCCTTACTCTGTAACAAATGTCAGTGGAAATGAGACCCAACTCCCCACAAGTTAAATAATTTACTCTTTGGAATATACTGGAATCTCCTTCAATGGCCAAGGATATGCAAATACTGTATGGCTTCACCAAACAAAGGGCTCAAGGCTTCATTTGACTCACCTCTTTCCGGGCCTGATTACTGTAAATTATCTCCCTGGTAGCTCAGTCCATCCCCTCCAGGACACTCAGAACCAAGGGCAGGCAACTCTTTCCAGCAATAGTTTGGTAAAAGTAGGTCCAGTTCAATGTAATCCAACAAGTATTTAGCCCAACGTGTTACACTATATATTCGGAGGATACAAAGATAGAATGGAAAACAGAATTCATTATTAAGAAGTTTACATTATACTGAAGAATATAACATGAAAACAGATGAATGAATGAATTTAGAACTCAGCACAAATCTCATCTTCTCAGTTCCACCCTCTAACTCTCTTCCCTCTGAGGTTACCTTCCACCTACTCTGTAAATATACATATGTCTAGTCATTTATAAGTTGTCTCTCCATTAGAATTTTTTTAAAAATTAACTTATTTTTAGTTTTCAACATGAATTCTAAATTTTTCCTCCTCCTTCCCTTCCCCCCTCCCCAAGCGGCATGCAATCTGATGTAAGCTATATATGTACAATCACATTAAACCTATTTCCACATTAGTCATGTTGTAAAGAAGGATCAGTGCCAAAGGGGAAAACCATGAGAAAAAAAAAAACAAACAAAAAAAAGAGAGAAAACAGCATGCTTCAATCTGCATTCAGACTCCATAGTTTTTTCTCCAGATGTGGATAGTATTTTCCACAATAAGTCTTTTGGAATTGTCTTGGATCATTGCATTGCTGAGAAGAGCTAAGTTTCTCAAAGTTAGTCATTGTACAATGTTGCTGTTACTGTGCACAATGTTCTTCTGCTTCTGCTCACTTCACTCAGCATCAGTTCATTTAAGTCTTTCTAGGTTTTTCTGAAATCCACCCGCTCATCATTTCTTATGGAACAATAGTATTCCATTACATAGAATGTTAGCTTCTTGAAGGTAGGGCTGTTTTTATCCCTAGTACTAAGCACAGTGTTTAGCACACTTAATAAATACCCATTGACTCATTGAAAAAGCATTTATTAAGCACTTACAGTGTGCCAAACATTAGAGCTACAGATATAAAAGCAAAGACAGTTCCTGCCTTCTATTAGCTTACATTCTAATAGGGTCAAGTCAGGTGGGTGGGAAGAGTACCTTGGTCCTCAAAGTTACAGGAATGGTGAGTGGGGAGCACATTGAAATACTCTATCTAGGAACAATGAGAGTTGACTTGTTCATGATTCCAGAGCTGTAGTAGGAGAGGTAGTAGGTAATAGGTTGTCAAAATGGTTGGCAAAGCTATGTAGAAGATGCCTAGAAAATAGGGAGTTAAGCAAAACATGAGTGAGATCTTCTTGGCATAGTGGGCCAGAAAAAGGCAGTCACCAGTGATAACATGAGGACCAGCTAAGTCTGATTATTTGAGAAAGGAGAGAGCACTAAAAACCTGAGGGATCAGCAAAGGTTTCCTATAGGGAAGAGGTTCATAAGCTGATCCTTGAAGGAAGTTGGTTATTCTAAGAAGTGGAGATGAAGTTTTTGCTGTTACAATATCATCCCAAAAACAAAAGGTAGAGAGGTAAATGAATGAATGAAAAAACACTTACTGCTTAACATATTGTGCTAAGCTCTGGGGATATAAATACAGAAACAAGTGAAGTTAGTCCCCATCCTCAAGGAATTTACATTCTAATGAGGGAAATAACACCCAAGGAGAATAGTGACCAAGGGTAGGGTAACTTAGTTCTGAAAGCTCCAGGGATGGTAAGTGGAGCTATAGTAGAGTAGATTGGTATATCCCATTCAGAAATCTTGACAAAGTTGATTTGATCATCATTCATGGTTCTCAACCTGGGAAGAAGGAAAGGAGAGGGAAGAGTTGGCCTGCAAAGGTGGGACCAAAGCAAGAATGGGATGGCTGGACAGTAGGGACTGAAATGAAACATCATAGCTAGGGCTTTCCTGAAATAGTGGTTCTGGAAAGGCAGTCATCTATCAGGACACTAAAGTTGTGAGGGAAAAGACTGCCAGAGAGTAAGGTATAAAAATGAAGATATAAGATTACTGACTACCAACAATGGTCTTCCCCCTAGAGTTTCCCAGCAGTAAGCTTGCAATTCCCTATATCATCAACAATCTCACCCCCCTTTCCTCTTGGAACTCCTTGCATTTGCAAGATCAGGGCCGAGGAGCCTATCTGTTCTAATCACTAACAGAAATGGCTATAGTGTAATTTGATAGTTCCCTGACTAAGGACTAAGTACTGCCATATTGGCTTTGTCCCTTCCACTCCATTTATTCTGGTGAACTGCTCTGATTTCTAGCAGTTTCAGGGCTTTTATTTCCAAGTCGCATCTCCCTGTCTTATAGGTTTTGTTTTAAAGAGAAAAGGAAATGAGGACACCCAAAGATTCATCACATCACTAAGGAGGCTGAGGGTCATACATAGGATTACAGATATAGAGCCAGAAGAGAATCTCAAGTGGTTATTTAGTTCAGTCCCTTCATTTTAGTGATGGGGAAACTGAGGCCCAGAAAAGGCTAAGTGATTTAGCTAATGTCACACAACAAATGGCAGTGCTGAGATTTGGACCTGACTTCTCTGACCTCTAATCTAGCACTTTTTCTGCTATATTATAAAAAAGGTATCTTGATCAAGGAAAGATTAAAAGCAGTTCTACAATTTAACTCAGACCCAAGAAGCAGGATTTGCACAGGTTATCTGGGTAAGGCCATGTGGATCCCTCTGTTGCCCAAGACAATTAGTCACCTGGGCCATCAGAGTCCTGCCAAGCTTAGGTTCAAGCTTAGGCTGCTAGATCAGCCTTCCTCAGCACCAACGACTCCTGTAGTAATTCAGAAAAGCCCTACCTTGTCCCTATGTCACCATGATCCTCTCCTTTTCCCAGAATTTTCCATGGATCTTCATTCCCCTAGGAAGAAGTCCATACTCCTCAGCCTAGCAGTCAAGGTTCCTCATAGCTTGGTCATATCCCACCTATCCAACTTTATCTCTCTTTCCTCCAGATGTAGTCTCTGTCTTCCAGATGTAACTCCTGTCCTATAAGAACTTTTAGTTTCATTGGGAAGAAAAGGCTAATGTTAAAAAATAGGGGTAGGGGGTAATTAGGGAGTTTGTGAGAAGTGTCCAAGAAATGGTACACATAGTAAATGCTTATAGGGCATTGAAGGGAAGGAGAGATAAGTGTTATCTGGACAGGTCAAAGAAAGCTCTAAAGAGAAGATGGGAAGCAAGCTGGGCCTTCAAGGATTAGTAGAAATAAAAGTTAGAAAGGAGACAGAGAGCATTCCAAATAAGGGAATGAGTCAAGGAAAGATATAGAGAAAGGAAAGCTGAACAGTATTGACAAGACCAGTTTTGCTAGAGTAGAGGGTTCACCTAGGAGACCAGTGGGGCCGGACTTAGTTGTAGATGTCCCTATTTGGGGGGTAATATTTTCCAAGACTGTTACAACACTGAAATCAATGTGGCCCACTGATCAGGGCAAGCCATTTCTGAGGAGAGAATTTGGGAGTCTCTTTAAGAAGGTCACATGGGAAATTTTTGAAGGACCCCCAAATTGGATCAGCCTGTGGATTTTCCAGAACCCAGAAGGTGCCTATCAACTCTAAAGAATGGAACTTTCTCCTACTTGATCCTTTCATCTCTTAAAAAAGACTCCACTATAGTTATCCTGTAAAATAAAGATAAGTGTAAATGATGACTATCAGTCCCTACCCCTACATTCCCAATGAAGAGACAGCAGTCAGTTCACTCACTGAGTCACAGTTCGCCTCCACCAACCTAGAAATACTCAACAGCCTCTCTGGCAATCTGGTCCCTGCTCCTGTTATTTAAAACACCATTCACTATCCTGCCTGCCTTGGCCAGCTGCTGGCTCAACCTAACTGGTTCCAATGGTGTGATAAACAGGAAATGGTGTTTTTTCTCCTCTTCTCAACATGTTCATTCTCCTCTTCCCACCTCTTCTGGCTCAAATGGAGGTGTCACCAGTGCCCATATGTCACATGGTAGTTTGGGATGTGCAATAGAGCCTTAGTCAAGGGTTCTGACCTTTCCTGCTGAACTGGAGCCTGGGGAAACATGGCAGCAAGTGATCTCAGGCAAGGACAGGGGCTCTGCCTTTCTCAGCCAATTTGCCGTGCATCTGGCCTGCAGAACTAGGAAAAGGTAACTCACTTAATTTCTTGAGGGGAAGGGCTGGAGCCAAGTCATCTTTAGGAGAAACTTAGAACCATAAAATCTTAGCGGTAGATAAGTGAGTTAACCTAGTCTATCGCCTGCATTTGAAACTGAGGCCTCGGAAAGGAGTGGTCCTGAGGTTGCCCTGGGAGTTATTTGGGAAAGCCAAGACTATAATCCAGGTCTCCTGTCTCCCAGTGCATTGCTTTTTTCACTTTGCCATACTACCTCTTCCCCTAAAACTCCAGGTTCATCCACCAGTCTGTAGTGCCAGCTCTTTTCTCTTAAAGAGCAAAGCTAGAAAGAATTCATGTCATCATCTGGGAAGCTAGAGTGAGTTCTGAAAAATGAAAATATTTCATGTTTTACTGAGAATCCAAACAGCTGGTTTGGGATTGGAAGGGGATCTGGATGGAAGATTTTAAAGCCACTTTATTAAAGGTGACTTTGAGGGCTATTGTATACAAGATTTCTACCCTGGTGGGGAAGTACTTTCTTAAAAAAAAAAAAGAATGAAATCTACTCCCATCTGAGTTGTAGAGAATGTGTATTAAGGTTCTAGTAAATAACAAGAGTGAAATAGCCATCCTCTAAGGTTCTTTCCGACTCTAAGATTCAGTGACCTAATGTTTGTTCATCCATCTAACAAACGTCTTCTGTGCGCCCAGCTTTGCCCCAAAGAAATAAATTGGATAGTGTGTCTACTTTCAGAAAGCTTGCCTTCTCTTAGGTGGGATAATACATATATGGACATAAATAACTATAATCCATTGCTGTAGAGCTTCATGAGAGCCAGCATTGCCAAGTGGATAGAGGGTTATCCTTGGAGTTAGAAGGTCTAGGTTTAATTCTTGCCTCTGACACTACAAGTTCCTACTAAGATGATAAAGTTCAGAAGAGGTCTGCATCTACATTGGTGGATGGAATTTCTACCCTGAGAGTTCCCTACATGACTAGTATCAAGCTCAGAAAGAAACAAG